TTCAAGTTTCGTGAATATTATCTGTAATTTAATGACGCCGCGGAAACGATTGCTGCGTTTGGCGAATGAGAAAGAAGTAAGAGGACAAAACTCACGACGGGTCACGATGAGACAGAGATACTTTTGACTTGTCGCAAAGAGGAATAATTCGATGATTACGTCGCCGCGGGACGCTTTAAGAAACGCCTATTATGCACGCGAAGAAAATTGACGCTTCCTTCTTTCGGTCGGCTCTCTTCTTTCTTTGCGGCGGAAGAAAGAGGAATTGCGTCACACGAGAAAAAACGGCCGATTAAAATCTTCCTTGTGCTTGACAAGTGGCCAGGGACGTGTCTTGTTTGGGTAACAAGTGGCGGATAAATATGCGTTACATGACCGACGTTGATCGTGTTACATACGAGTATTAATTAAAGTGAAAATAATCGCCGCTTGCGTGCGCGTTGGGGTCCAAGGGACGACAAGGGTCCAAGATTTGCAAACGATAATTACCATTGGGCGACAGAAATAAGTGAAAGGGCAGTGCGCGAATATCGCGATCAAAGTGAGGCACATATCCTAAAAACTTTTGCGCGCGTTCACCGTATCCGCTTAATTTTATTTATTCGTGCATTGAGAAAAAAATGTTTGTAACTATAATCGCATAAAGAGATAATAATTACTATAAATTATGATGAAGAAAACTATTTTTTACTAAATTTTATTATAATGTTAATAACCTTATTTGCATGTTACTACTACCGTTTTCATGTTCGAACGACCAAATGTATGGCTAAAGTCAGAAGTAATAATAATTTTAGTCAGATTAATCGTTCTTTCCTCTCAGTGTGTAATTTAATCAAACTTGCAGACTTTGAGCAGCTTGCTTTGTCTCGAGCGATCTAAATTTTGGTATTCTCCGTGTCTTAAAATTATCTTGACAAATGGTGTTTCACCGAGAAGCGCGATAAATCTCTCTTTCTGTACATGACGAATTGTACGTTCGTCCCGACGCGTCCGATAAAACGCGTCGCGCCCGACACTGAGATGTATGCGGCCCTGGAAGCGCACTTATCGTACACGTAGGTGAATGTCGGCAGAGAAATCATACCGGCAAGGACGATGTAGCGAGAGAAAGAGCAGGGCAGGGTGACGGGCCGAGCGGGAAAGAGATACAAACCACGCCCGGCTCATCCCGACTTTCTAGAAACCGAAAACTGGATCGCGGCTGCCGACATCTCCGGAGATCTCGAGAGACGTCAGTCCGGGTTGATTCACGTAACAGACGTCAATCTTCGCCGACCACGCTCCCCTTTCTTTCACTCTTCTTATTTCTCCTCTCGTTCCGCGTATCCGGCTACCGTTTCTCCATGGACATTACTCGCTCGCGCTACTCCGGAGAAACTCCGTTTGACACAGGAAGAGAGAGAATCCGAGATTTTACTTAAAACAACTTGAATTGAAGCAATTGGAGAATGTTTGGCTGACTCAATATCCTCGATAATATTAATTAATTGACGACACGTTATTTTTTTTTTACCACGTCATCTGTGATTCTTCAGAGAGAAACAACTAAATTTATCGCTGGACTTCTGAATTTTGAACTCTGTTTGAGAGCTCTTTGAAGTCTCATTTGTCAATTTAAGAAACTCTTCACAGCGCATTGCGACGGTAAATATAATGGGTACAAAAGCAACGTTAATTCTTGTATTAACGCAAAAGTTTGCAAAAGGCAACGAATGCCAGGTAGATCGTTGGATCTGTCGTCTCTCCGAATTCGACGGGGCGTCGGCCGAGGATGCGTCCGGTCGCGAAAGTTTCTCTCTGCGGAGTATTATTACGAGGAACAAGGGAAAGTACATGTAAATCTGAACTTAATCGACCGCATCTCTCGCCGGACGACACACGCTCTACTACTATCACTTTCTTCGGACGTGCACGCGCGAAAACGCGAGTGGCGAGGCGCAAATGCAGAAAAATCGACAGCGGCTTCCCGCATCGCGCCGCGTCTGCGTGTACTTTCGACTTCGCCCGGTTAAGTCGCAAGGCATCCTTCTCGACGCCCATAATTAACGCTTTTCACTATTATCGTCGAACGAGCGAGGCTTTTTTGCACCGGTCCGCTCCTTTTACGCGGCACGTCGCCACTCTTTTTCCGCCTCGCCTTCCCGGCTGCGCTGACAACGTAGCGCGAGCGGATTTCTCTTTCGCCGGAGTGGACAACCGAGGAGTGGATTAGTTTCTGGTTCGTAACTGGATCAGTGCAAACGCGACTGTACGCGCCAACGAACTCATCGATCGGCAAACGACGATAAAAGCCGTAAAATTAAACGTTTCATTAATCACGCCTGTCATGTAAAATTTTTTCAGATCGCGTATCAACGGCAATTATAAATTATTTCGAGAGCATATTATTTTTATGGAAGTTGCAATTATCAAGAGGATTATAAATTATTAATAGTAACAAATTACTAATATTTTATTTTTACCATGCTTCTTTTTAGCTTCATTATTTATTTATACGCATTCAATACTACGGAAATCATGAAAATGTGTCATTTATAACGCAATTTTAACAATTATCTTAATCACATATGGTACTTACACGCGTGTGTCTGTCAATTAATATATCGGACTGCTTTATTCCATCAAGCACCGCGTATTTGATAGATCGTAATTTTACGTTACGCCTCATATTATGTTTTATACATATTTCTGTTAGCACTCTCTCGGAAAGCCGAACACACCGATGCGTAATCGCGACGAGATATGTCTGCGATACGCAATAAAGTCTCCCGCATTTCTACGTTTAACTCGGTAGCACGTGGCGATTGAAGATAAAATATACCCGCCTTCCCGCCATGCGCGGATAGAGACATCAACGATCGCAAGAGCACGCGGAAAGCGGTACGGTCTTGACGCCGCGCGTCGTGGGTAAATGCGTCACTTTCAGTCGCAGAAAAGCTACCAGATATGTAAGATGCGTAGCTTTCAGTCGCAGAATCGACTTGTAACAATAATCACCGAGACAAGTAAAAAAAAATGCCATTTTCTTCATCAAATCAAACGCCCTCCGCAAAGATACACTGTCGTGTTTGTTAAATAAAACATATGACAGAAATGTGAGAAATAAAAATACGAAATATTCATTAGATTGTCAATCGATCAAAAATTAATAAAATAATAGCAAAATTTAAAGATGTGATTTAGTATCGCTATCGTTGTGTGCTCACTTTAAATCGTGCCAATAATGAAAATAAATAATACGAATTGTCACACACACGCATCTGCTGTTTTGAAATTTTTCACATTACATTCTGTTCAACATTTCACTCATTCTTCACGAGAGCGTTAGCTAACGGATAGAAAATTCTGACGTATATATCAATCGGAGAAATAGAACAATCAGATCACGTTATCCCTTTCGCATCGTGACAGATATCGTTGCTTCGTTACACCGCGGAAGAGATTACGGTATCCGCTTGCTGAGGAACCGACTGAAAAAATGCCGAGCAGAATTAATTGCGCGTAGGTTCGCGAGTCATTAATAAAATTCTGTCAATTAGCGGGCGCTACGGATTCCGAAGCACGTGCCGGAGTGAAATGGAGGAGCATTTAGAAACGGGGAATAAAACGAGAGAGGCCCGACTCAATGATCCATAATCGTGCGATCACAAAAATCGGATAGACACATCTTACGTATCTGGCAGGTGTTCCTACTCAATCTATACTTTTTCTTTTTATTCTCGACGTGTCTGACGTCAAGTTGTAAAAATGCGTTCGATTTGCTCCAGGAGATCGATTTCTTCGCCTCCTAAAATCTTTACCGTAGCCTCGGGCCGAAGACACATTTATCACAACGCGATTGATGCCTTGATTTATCGAGTCCCGTTGCGTTCCCTCTCTTTGCCTTTCTCCCTTTTTCACTGACTCTCCTTCTCCCTCTCTCTCTCTCTCTCTCTTTCTCTCTCTCTCTCTCCACCTTCTCCGATTCACGACGATGTCGATCGAGAAAGGAAGATAGAAAGAGAGAAGAGAGATCCTTTCACTAATGTTTCCAAATCGCGTCGTTTTCTAGCGACCCTAGTACGATCTTCTATTCTTCTCGACTCGCCGTAATCTAGTTCTATCGCGAGAAAGAAAGTCAAGTACGATGGCTTTTTGATTTATGAAGCACGCTGCGAGGCTTGTTCGTCAACTGGCCGATGTTACGCGATACGTATCTCTAATAATCAGTTGTGTCTATCTACGACGATACTACGGATTGGTATATTCAATTATTTTTTGAGTGACGTTCTAGCTTTTGTAATCGGGGCGTGACCTTAAAGTTTGTTTAACGCCGAGCGTCCGCGTTGCACAATGACAAACTTTTCTTTGATAGCTGTTACCTTCTCTCGCAACATTTTACTGTTGCATAACTATAAGATATTACGTATGAAGTATAGCTGTAACGAGTATAGCTGTTTATCAGGCTCTACTCTCATTGCAGTTACTATGTCGAGTTATTATGTACATCGAATAAAAAATACTAAATTTAAATCAACTGTTGATTTATATTTAGGACAATATATCAGGCGAGTACAATTATATTAGCACGCGCTTGAAACTATAATTGACCGATCAATTTGCCTCAAAAGGATATAAGTGTACTCTTGATTTGAAATTTTACTTCTACATCAATTCTGCAAATAGCTCTTTAATCTCGCAAACTTACGTCAATTTTAAGCCCGACATTTATAATTGTAAATTATTTATGATTTTAACTGAGAGCATAATGATTTACAAATATACGAACTGTCGTATATTCGTTCCTTTGTTGACTAATCAGCTATTTGGATCAATGTTTTTTCTTGTATGAAATAAATGCAAGAGTGCAAGTTGATGAATAATCTAGAATTCATGAATCTACAATTATCTAGTTATAATGTATCAAATGATGATGAGCTATGAATGCCAGTCTGAATTTTGACTTGGATATCATTTTATTTTTTCTTCAAGTTCGTGTAATAAATAATTTTACATACTTAGAAATTTGATGTATCGCTGACTGCGTCTCGGCGTCCAGCTTTGTTCGCTCTGGCTTCACGATCACAGCATCCTCTGCGACAATCATTCAGACACGATTCGATCTAGAACACGTGTTGATTGACACGATTAATGAAAGTCCGATTAAATATATCAAGAGTCCACGAGAATAATAATTAACGTGTTAGTATACACGCAAATCGCTAACCATCTTTGTCAGCTAATCAAACATGTTTACATATGGTCTGTTCTTTTCAGCTGCACTGCTAAACTGGTGCAATAAGTTAGAGTGAGAAAAAATATACTTGTCTCATTTTAACTTATTGCATCAGTTCAGCAGTGCAGCTGAAAAGAACAGACCAATAGTCTCGGTGGCTCAGAGACTGCAATAATTAGCAGTCTTAAGATGTTTCGCGCGCAAGTCTCACTTCAAGTTGACTAACAGCTCTAATTCACTAATATCATTATTTATCAATATTATCTATTCGTTTATTTCTATCTGTAGTCGAGTAAATTATATAATTAAAAATTACTTATTAAATCTGAAAGAAAATTAGATACAAGTAGATTATATATATATCAAAATTACTAAATATTAAGTAATTTTAAAGGAAGTCTTGCATTAAGTCTTAAAAAGGAGAGAACGGTCGTGAGTGATCATATGTAGTTTCGAAATATTGTACTAATTCAGTGAAATTTTTAATACAGCACAATAAAATTTCGAGTCAACCTATTTATGACACGTGTTCTCTCTCGAGAACAAACCGAGAAAGCACACAACCCCGTCTCGAAATTGGCCGGCTAATCGAACACACCGTTTCTATTCTGCGTTTCAGACTATCCCGAGCGGAGAGCAGGAGCAAGGCCGAGGGTGACAGAGACAGTGTGATGAGCGGATACCTCGGTAGCATCACCCTGCCCCCGACGTTGCTGCGCGATCCCAAGTATCCTCCAGCCATGCGGGAGAAGGACTCGAGCCCGAGGAAGATGCCGGGCCACATAAGCCCAAAGCAAGCCAGCATTTATCCCTTGAGCGTCCGCGTGCCAGACGTCGAGGAGCTGCCATACGACCTCAGCCATGGCCATGGTCGCGGCTTGTCGAGCCCGACGAACCAACAACAGCAGCAACCGCACATGAGCCCCGCGGCCAGACCACCGCAGCCTCATCATCAAGACGAGCTCGACTGCGAGCCGCTCGATCTGCGCGTCGATCACAAGAAGGAGCGGCTCAGGGACGAGAATCAGAATGAGATCGAGGTGCTGAACCAGAATAGCCTAGGCGGTAGTCTGCCATATCACACGGTGCTCTTCCCCCAGCATCACGCGATGCACCCGTTGGTGCTGGAGGCGATGTACCGGTCACACCATCACGGCTCATCGGTGCCCGATCTGCCAAAGATCCAAGTCAGAGCGTTGCCGACGATGGTGCCGCTGCCGCCTAACAGATTCTCCTCGACGACCTCGTCGACCACCTCGCCCTCCTCGTCGCAACCGACAGCGAGGGCCGTCAGTCCGACCGGTGCTCAACAGTCGCAACATCCGCAACAGAATCATTCGTCGCAGCAGCAGCAGCAACATCAGCAGCACCAGCAGCAGCAGCAGCAGCAACAACAGCAGCAACAGCAACAGTCGCAACAACAAGGCTCGAGTCTGCCGCCGTACTCGATCAGCGTGCAGGCCGGCCTCAAACCCAAGGACAGATATTCCTGCAAATTCTGCGGTAAGGTCTTTCCCAGATCGGCGAATCTGACGAGACACCTGAGGACGCACACCGGCGAGCAACCATACAAGTGCAAGTACTGCGAGAGGAGCTTCAGCATCTCCAGCAACCTGCAACGTCACGTGAGGAACATCCACAACAAGGAGAAGCCGTTCAAGTGTCCGCTCTGCGAGAGATGCTTCGGCCAGCAGACTAATCTGGACAGACATCTGAAAAAGCACGACGCGGACGGGCCGACGATACTGGACGAAGTCAGATCGAGGTATCATGGTCAGCTGCCGAAGGCCGACGAGTCCTACTTCGAGGAAATTCGCAGTTTCATGGGGAAGATCACGTCGCAACGGCAGGGGATATCGTACTTCCCGGGTCTGCTGGGTCACGCCACTGACGATTACAGAAACGACAAACAGCAGTTGCAGTTGGAGGAGAAGCGGGACCTGTCGTACTTCAGCGACCGGGACAACCTCAGCTCGAGGTCGAGCGGCACGACCAGCAGGCCGGAGAGCGTCCAAGAGGAACAGAGGGAGGCGAACTCGCCGCCACTCTCCCCCGGCAACAACACCTGAGTCCTGGTGCGCGGTCATTAGCATGGTAACCCGTTATCAGAATGCGACTGGTTCACAGTCGGAAGAGAGAGAGAAAGAGAGACGTTTCGCCGATTCGTTAGAGCGTGGTGGAGTCCGAGAGGAAGAGAGAAAGAAGAGGAAGAAGAGAAAGAGAAAGAGAGAGAGTGCTCGATGTGTATTTCGAGCCGTCGGGATCGAACGAAAGCGAAAGTCTCGGGAGGGTTATAAATTTCCGACCAAACGAGACTCCACGACAACGATACCGCCACGAAGAACTGCTAATACTCGTGGTGATCCTAGATTAATCCGAAACTATTAGTGCACGAGGTAAATCATTCTGCGTAGAAATTCCTCGCCGCGAGCCGAGAGAGCGTCAAAGAGATGCCGACGGAATTTGAAAAGACGAAAAAGCGAGAGCGATCTATTAATGAAGGTAGATCTGACTCGAGAGATCGGCGGAGAGAATCATTTGCTCAAGACGACGAGCGATACGTAGTCGGGTCATCGTTTTCTATATGCTAGATTTTAACGATCGCGGGCTTCGAGAGACAAATTCGTCAAACGACGAGCAGCCGACGAGAGGGTTCAGACGTGAATCCAATTCTCTATGAGGAAGCAAGAAAACGAATTGGAACGCGCGGTGCCTTGGAGAAACATGTGCCTAACTTCTAGGACGTATCGTCCTTCGATCCTGAAGAATACGATCCGATCGGATCGATAATACGAAGAGCCTTAATTAAGCTAAATAAATGAGATAAATTACGCGCTAGATACCATACTAGATAATTCTAGACTTAAACGCGTGTTTGAGCGAGCCGGAAAGTCACTGAGAAACAGGCAAAGTCGGTCGCAATCTACAGACCAATTTGCGAAGAGCGCGTAAGCCATAAAAAGAACGTCTAATAGAATTCCAATTAAAAGAGACATGAGATGTCTTGATATTTTACAAGATTGTCTTGGCTGCATATATTTTCACTTCTAAATTTGCGGAGCTTCGTTTCAATAACATGAAGCATTTTGTTAAGCTTGTTCTCTTCGCAGATCGGACGATAGGATCCCAACGGACCGGTATATACAAAGTATAGTTCATTTACGCTCGCAAGCTGTCGCAATCCTCTCGTTTATGCACCGGGAATTATAATTATCTCTCTCGCGTAAACTCGAATCTCGCTACGATGTAAAATCTCACTTTCAATCGTGAAGAAAAATGCAAGCTGCGTCGAATGGTCAGTATAATCTGCAAATAGTGAGAAAGTTCGGAAAGAACGATATCGCTCTGAAATTACGTTGAATCGCGCCGCGGATTACGGCATGACGCATGACTAATTTGCAAAGAAGAAAGACCAGCATGGGAGAATAAAAGAAAAAGCGCCAACGCTGTAATTAAGGCCGTCGCGTCGATCCTTTCGATCGTCCCTGCACTTTTCCACCTTTCACGACGCATTCCTCTCGCGCGATCAGCTCGAAGCTGCAGAAGTTTGATTTCTAGATCGACGCGGCGTCAAGTATCGTCCGAAGAAGTCGCGCGCGATGTATGCTCTCAGGTGTCGTCGATTGGTCCTATAAGTTCACATCGAATATAAAAAAAAGTCACACAATTACGATAATAAAAATAATCTTCTCAGACGCGATTTGCCGCCTTTCTTGTCGGTGCAGTATGAAATACCCGACTTCTAATATTCGTATTCGACAAATCTAATTTTCCCGCATCCACATAGTGTCTGGAGTACTTGAGTGCACGTCCAAGATAGTGCAATCCGACGAGCACCACGGCTTGCAATCGCTGGAAGCGGTCGTGCACGTCGCATACCGCAAGATCCGCGCGTGCTCGTCGCGCGAACATCGAAGTTCGATGATCGCGTGGCGCGGCGAAGAGGTTCGCAACCCAACGAGGCGGACGAAAAAGTCCTTTCGTGGAAGGAAAAGTCGGTGAGAGAACACGGGACGGATTCGTATCGGCAGAAAACGCGGCTCTGATGGGTGAGCGCTCGATTTTACGACCTAGAAAGTGAATTTCAGCACTCGGCCAACTCGGGCGCAACTTCGGACGTAATCCGCGGATCGCGGCCCGCCGGGCCCAATGATCCGCTGAGAGGAGGCCGATAATAAAATAGCGTTTAGAAATCGATGGGCGGATCCGCGTCTTGCCGACCGGGCCGCGCGTTGGGAAATAAGAACTGACGGAAGAGCTCGGAAAGTTCGTCGCACTCTGCGCGCCTCGGATCGTTAAGTTTTTAATCGGGGAAGCGGTGACGTGTCGCGGCTGTGCACCAGAAATGATCGTCGCGAAATGAAAACGCGGATACAATGTTCTCTGATCTTCTCGAGGCCGCTTATTCTCAAACGCACGGATTATCGAAGTTCATTGCAGTATATGTTCACGGAAAAACAGTATGCTTGGGCCACGCATCAATCTGCTCGTGCCAATCAGATTCAGTAGTAAAATACGGAACAACTAATTACGTGGTTGCTGCAACCACAAGACAATTGCCGAGTTATTGGCGTTGCAGCAGCGACGATGTCTGGTTGCTCCAATCGGAGTGTATCCATGATAAATGTCACTCCAACCGATTGCCACAACCAGATCACGCGCAGCAACACTGATGTAGTTCATGTACCAATATAACTGAATCGTATCAACCATATACATTTCCATCACAAAGATAACTAGAATGATGCAATTATGCTGCTCAAGTATTCTGGCTATGTGTACTTTTCTTTCATCTCATTAGAGTCAATCGGGTCGAATGCGTAATTAAAATTTATCTTCGTTGAATCTCTTATAATTAAATTAATCTAAATTGCAATTTCGTCAATTGACGGAAAACACGGAAAACACGGAAAACTTAGCCGTTCTGCAAGCGGAAGAGAGACATGAGGAAGCTGTTTCTCCGCTTCTGAAACCAGTTCACGTTCGAGAAAAAAAAGGATCGCGCGATTATTAATATGCAATTATCGCATTCGCACGCGGCGACGAGCCCCAAGAGAATTAATTATCACGAAATGGCCACGCGACGATCCGGATCTAAATTACGAACTTTGAGTTGATCTCTAATTTGAACTTAATTCCTTCGCTCAGAAATTAAGTAACGGCATAACGATATTAGTTTTTCCTTGACGATTTATCGATATTGAATACGTCGCGTTATCATCTCGTCTAATATGCATGAGACATCAAATTCTAAAAGAGTATTGCCAGACGAGTGTATTACCGTCATACTATATTCTCGTGGAGATCTCGCATTAAGATAAAAATACCAATGTTGGACACTAATAACACTACTATTTAACTCTAGATATTTTTATGGTCTTTATAAAACATGAATATTTAAAGTTTTAATATAAAATACACGCAGGATGTCCGATAATCAATGACACGTCTATTGCGCGCAGGCAAAACTCATTGAACACAAAATTCTATCACTTCGCAAACAACCATGTAAAATTTTGAGTGATTAATTGAGGAAAATTAACGAAGGATCGCGTGCGATGGATGCTGCATGATTGCGCGCGATAATGCACCAATATTCTTTACTTAATGGCTAAAAATCTACGTGGTTATTTGCAAAATGGACCTTTTTGTTCGAGTGCTCAGGTTTATTGGATGCCAATGTTATTAGTGTTCAGGACAAGGCTCATTACGCGACTCGTCCGCTCTCGCGTTTGGGAAACGAGCATAGAGGAGAGGAAAGCAGCAAGGGCGATCCGCTTCGCACGATGGACTGGTTGCCGGTATTCGTTGCAGCGAACGCGTCGGGAAGCGATATATATCCGCCGACTCAGCGCGTTCGCGGGGCGAATCATTCCGACAGGCGCTCCTGAGCTCGAACGGTGCGAAATCTCCCGCGAGGTTCCCATCGACGGAAGACGTCTACGACGGCGAAGAAAGGACTCGATCGGAACCGGCGTGGCGGGGCGCGCGCGTGGAATCTGCAGCGTGGAAAAGCCGCGTGCTTCCTGCCGGCGATGATCGGCAAGAAGAGGCGAGTAAACGAGCGGAGCACCTTGGTGAACGTACCGCGGGCAATCCCACACGGATGATGATATATCCCCTCGTTTCCTGCGGACGGTCGCTCAAGACCGTACCTTAGGCGAAACGATGTAATCGTCTTCCGCTCCTTAAGTCAGGTGCAAATTTATCGGCACTTTCTAGTGAGCGTTCAATACGCGGCTCGGCGCGCACCACAGGTGCAGATTCCTCCAGGAGGATCGCTTGACCTTGAGATTAACCCGATCGACGACTCATGGTAGCAAGCAGAGTGCAACGCGAGGGTCAGAGGCATAACGGAGCATAAACTCGATTGCATAGAGAAACGAATGATCGCTTATTCTCGCGACAGCTCAGACTGAAGTGGCCTCTGAAATCTTTCTTCACGTACGCTGGGACTTGTACACTTCGGGGTCTCGTGCGTCCAAAGATCTTACACAAGTACAACTCCGTTAATGTAACTGAATTTTCGGTTACTTACAGACCAGATGAAAAGCTCGATTATAGCAACACAAAGATTCCTGTAAAAAGTTCCTATTCGGCCAGTTGTTCTCAATTACCTCAACCGAGTTTCAATGCAGCTGAATGTTCAAAGTATTTTCAATCACAGTAACAAAGATATCATTTCTTGTTAGCAAACTTTTCATCTGGCCCCCATCCAGTGTTACCCGAATTGAAATTATTTCTCCGTGTATTGCGGGAAAAGTCGCGTGGTCGCAGACTCTCGCGCGTCTGGTGCACATGCGAATATTTTGCATATACCAAGACCCCACTTGGCTCGTACAAACCGCTATCGCATGCACGAGGGTCTTACACCTGCGGAAAATTGATACGTGTAAACCCCGCTAAATCACAGTGCTATATTGGAAAGGTCATGGCTCGGGCAGATGCGTACATCTTGATGCCTTGGGCTTATTCGTCTCACGGACTCCCTTATTGAGGGTTCTTCTTCACGCACTCCGCGTTATCTTCCCGATGATTAAGTACTTTTTCTCTTATTACAACTAACTTCTTCTTTCCACCTTCATGTTCTCTCCTTTCTTCGCTAATTTTCTACTGCATATTCATTTCGAATCGAAAAGAAAATCTCGAATCGTCTTTGGAGATCGTCGGCGCGCTCAAAGAGTTAAGCCTCGCGAATGCGTTCGAAACTTGACCAGCTTCGCAAACAACGTCGGTGAGAATCGCGGGCGACTCGTTGGCATTGGAGTCGCGGAGTGGAATCGTGCGGGAAATACTCAGAGTCGCGGATTGCTTTCGTCGGAATAATCTCGCAACACGCGATACCACTATTACAAGCGCGCTCGGTTTCCTCGAGTTCTCCGGAACGCACTTAAAAATTCTGACCGACGAGCCTTAAAAACAAACTAATCGCTTCCCGGCGCGAGTTTACCGCGCTTTCTAGATCGTGCTCGACACCATCGGAGCGAAAAACATAACAAGTCGGGTTCATGACTGAAAATGTTATCTCGCGCGAGTTCAATTCATTACGTGGACTTTGCAACCGGCGATAATGGCGACGTAAACAAAGCGTTTATCCGGCTTGCTTCGCCGACCCATCCGAGTCGGTACGATATATGTCACCCTGTCACCGAGAAAAAATATGGTAAAATATATGAGAAGTGCAAATATCTCTCGTAGATACCACTTCTATTTCAATGTCGTTCAATTTACATCGTTATCAAGCGAAACCAGCGTAATATTCTGACGGTATCGATTACCTATAACGTCCAACCGCGGCATGGGAAATTGATCCCGTCGCGAAATTCCACCGATTTCAATCTCCTCGCGAAAATCACTTCGCGCTCATAACGAGTGATAATGAAAACGTGACAATCAGCGTTAAGATAATGCACCGTGCATTATTTTTGATAGCCTGTCCTACACTGGCGCACTCTTACTCGCGCATTATTTTATCGAGACTCAATATGACTGGCGTAAATAGCGGCAGATTAATTTAACGATGACGCGGTTATCGTCAGCCCGCCCGATTACGACGGCAATTTCCCGCAAGCCGACGTGTATATCGCCGTTGCGCCGCGTTCGCTCGCCGTGGAAACGATTTAATCCTTTCTTCCGGTATGATATTGGGTGTAAATTTATCGGCACTTTCTACGTTGCGCGCGCGCGAAGGCGACGTACAGGTGCAAATCCGACCTTGATTAACCCGATCAGTGATTCGTAACACTGTAACGAGAGCCTGTCCGGCTCGAGAGGATGACGTGAGCTACGAGTAGCTCAAGGTGCTGCCGAGTTCGAGAGTTTTGCATCTGTCGGCATCTGAGGCTTTTCCACGCCCTTTTCGTTTCATCGCGGAGGGCGGACAGACGTACGGGCGTGCGGCTGGAAAACCGCTTTCTACGACGCGCGCGGATGCAAATGCGCGAAAGATGGCGGCGCACGATACTACCGACAATGACTCGTAAACCGCAACATTTTAAACGTAGATCGCTTCCCCGGAGCGATCCACTTTTGCTGCGCGCGACTTTCTGCGCGCGGGAGGAAGGATCTAATAAATAACTAGCGGATTGTTATTTGAATCGCCGCGCGGAAAGAGCGAGATGCCGCCGCCGCCGACGACGACGACGAGAATTTAATCGCCGGCTGCGGATCAAAATTATTGCGCTTTCTAAACGATAATACCTACGCAACGCGGGTGCTTTCAAGATAGGAGCAACTTTGCACGAGTACTGCCTCACGGTTGGTTAGCGAAGGTCGAAGAACTCGCGCCGCGCCGCGGTCGTAAAGTGTCGGTGTAACTGTAGTGTGTATGTATAAATCGCGTAGACCTTGTATATTTAATATTGCGAGATTCCCGCGGAAAACTCGCCGATCGCGCTCTCTCGTGTTTTTTACGATCATCTTCTCTCGTATCTTCTCCTATACCATATACGCGCTCGCTCGGTCCTACCGTCCAATTCTTCATTTTACTCTTATTATCGTTGTTTCGTAACACGGCCTTGCGAACGCGCGGTGACTAAGCTCGCACAATGCAGATCTCAGGTGAAGCCTCGAGAGGATGGCGCGCGCGGACCCTGTTTTTCTCCTTCACACGTGTACGATCGCAGCCGATGGCCTCGGACTTCTCTTGCGTTACACTTTTGCCACGCCCCGATCGAACGGGTAAGCTCATCGCGAAAGTGAAACGCAATAAAGGAGCCACGCCGAGCGAGAGTCTCGACAGACCGCGCGAAGGCGGAAGAGAGAGAGAGGCAGATCGACGGGCTTGTCGAGACCAAGAAAAAGGGAGAAAGAGACAGGGAGAGAGAGGAGGAGAGCGAGAAAGGGAAAGAGAGAAAGAGAGAGAGGGAGGGAGATGTAAGAGATCCTATCGATCGGAACCTCGAGGCCTGGAAATCGGTTTCCTCGCAGCATCCCGCGATCGTCGAGGAGTGCAGGCAGATACGCTCGATTCGAATTTTCTCTCTCGAAACACGCGCCTTTGATAAGCGAGTAATTCAACGACCACGACGACGGATGCTTCGAGCGAAAGTCAGTTTTTCCGTCGTTAATTTAAGAATACGCATCGTGATCCTTTGTTCTCCATAAAAGTGAGGAAAATAGTGACAGAGGGTCTTACGAAAACAAAACTTTCTAGTGATCGATCGACGTCTTTCAGTATCTACTCACGCGCCAAGAGAGTCGACTCGTGCGCTCTCTTACGATTATTCTAATTATAGTACAAAGTCACATGTGTCTCCGCAGATCTCGCGATATGATTGTCGATATTAGACGCGTGTCCAAGCATTTCGAAAGGAGCCGCGATTCGCTAACGAATCCCGGTTAATTCGGAGCGTTTCGCAAAAGGCGGCTCGCGAAGGCTCGGCGATTGCGCAAAATTCGTACCATTTGCGAATCTAACCCGGCAGACTTTTCAACCAGTTTCCTGTAAAACCAGCTCGGATTTCTCGCCGCGCACTGCGCCTATCCGCGAAATTGCGTCAGCTTCTCGAGGGGCGAGGGCACCGCCGCGTCGCACCTCACGATCTCATCTCGCGGCTTCTCCCGCTCCAGTTCGCGTGCGTGATTTCACCGTGTCACTTGCGTGTCCGCCGGTCTCGCACGCGCGACACTTTCAGCCGTTCGTTTCGTTCGTCCACCGAATTGCGACAGCCGGCGAGCGAAAATAAAAAGAAAAGCGGAAAGGAAAATACAGCTTGCGGTCGCGCCGTTGGGAAACGTTCGTTTGAGCGTACGCCTGTGCCGCGGTGCTCCCCAGCACGCGAGCCTTATGTTACCTTTCAGTCGTGAATCATAAATTCCGACGACTACACGTATAATAAAATGCGTATCGAAGCAACGACCGTAAATAGTAAGAATAGCATGTACGGCACTCACGGCTCCTGTGTAACGCGAATCGCACACGTCACACATGTATACATCACCTAGCTGTTAGAATTCGTTTGTATATCGAGGCTCAATCTTATAGTTAAACGAAATCTCGCCAAGAGAATGAACCACCGCAATGAGCAATGTGCAATGGGCGTCGTACGGGCTCACTGCCTCTCTCTCAAGCGTCCCGAATTCTTCGACACGAAATTAACTTTGCACCACACAATCGCCTCCCATCGGCATCATGCGCTTATGTAGTCGCACGTGTATAATTTCATTAGAAATCACTCATTTCGACAATGCTCGCGGATGTGGTGGCTCGACGATAGATGCTATCGTTTTCTCGAGGAACGATATCCCCGTGCGGAGGCACCCGCGTCGTTCTAAATATAATGAAGCACACATCTCGTGGACCAAAGTCGACTAATCTCATTCCGCCATTCCGACGACGATACGTAACATCTTATTCCGATCAGCTCGGTAAGCCCGGCTTAGATCTGCATTTTAATTATGACTCGAGACCTCCGTCAGGCTCACACCCGTCGCAAACCACCTCTCAGGCTTTACCGCAATCTCAATCGCCGCTAACGTCGAATTCTAATGGAACTAATCGATTCGCACGAGTGTTCGTACAACCCTCCTGTAATTACATATAGTCAACTGCGCGCGGTATGTACTAAATAAAACAAGAAGCAACTTGTAAAAAGAGCTCTCTAATTTTTATATGAGATATAAATATACGATATGAATATGCATAGTTAATATATACGTACAGATAGAAATATAAATCGTACCACCCACGAATGTGATTTGACCGAGGTTACCGTGTTATACGTACTTACTATTAGCCACGGAAACGGCGCCGTGTGCCGAGGAAGCTATAAAGCGCTCGTTACCTTTAGAACAAGTAGTTTTTAAGGGACACACGCGTACATATACACACCGTTACCCACTGACACACGCAGAAACACACACCATACACGAAAGTTTTCAAGCTCAGTTCAATCCTACAGATCCTTACGTTTATAGTCAAATATAAAGAGCATAACAAGCGCCAAGCGTTTCAAGCGGACGAACGATCGTAGTATTGTTTAATATTATTACAAAGAGAATGTGTTATTTGTGTTAATGAAGCTGGTCTCGCGCTGCGTTTCAGTTTTGTGAATAAAATACGACGTCTCCGTCTAATGAACCTCAATGGTTTACCGGAGAAAAATGACTGAAAATTCTTCGTGTCGTGAAAATCTCGTTTCAAGTACCAAGCCTTTCATTTACGGACCTAATTGTAAATATTTCAATTATTTATTCTTCTTCCTTCTCAATTTTAATTATTTATATTGTAAGAATTCAGTATGTAGTGTCCTCCCTGGTGCAAAAGAAGGAGAATTGTAACATTTCAATAATTCTGCAAATTATAACTATGACTCTTCCTTGTGTGAAAGGGAGAGGTTTCCATTACTTATGCGTGCATAATTCACGACTGAAGTTGCTCAGATCGCCGATTGAAATTGCCGTTCGAAAAATGACCCATTGAATTGTTCAATTCTTCCCATGACGCGAGAAGACGCGGTTGGCTCATCGGACGGGATGATCGAGTAGAGACGACGTCCGTGAACGATCCTATAATTGTTCGTCACTCCTATTTTCCGTATGACATTTATAGCTACGTAGTCACGCCTTTGTAGCACGACGATGACTGTATATATGTCAATATGTAATATTTGAGATGCAAAAATATATATATTATAATTCAATAAGAGAACAACTCTCTTCGATCGCTTCATTTCAATCGAATCTTCCCTGCAATTAAAGATTACTATGCAAGAACCACTTCCATTGTCAACAAGCAGGATAGTTCTTTCATATGTGAAAGCAAACAGCGTATTATAATAATTCTCACATAATTTTATAATCAATATAGCTAATAAACAGTGTCTTCGGATTGTTTCATATATTTTCGTATATAAAATTCTATTCTTTTTATGATAGGATTATTTACCAGTCCTAAACAAGTTCATGATATATACTTATTAGCTTTCCGCGTGAAAATTTCAAATTTCAATGACAATTTCTACTTTTGGATTTTTATTTATTTCTATTCATTGTGGTCAAGATTATATTCACAGCCGCTTAAAAACGACATCGTAAAGAAGAAAAAAATTCAGGATTCAGCACGAGCTCGTACAGTGCTTTCTCTCGTGCGCACTTTCATCCACCTCGCGCAATTTTGTCGTTTTGTTCGCGTTCTGACCGTACAACGAGAGGGTCAACGGCGGGTTCAACCGAAACACGACCCTGTTTCCAGAAAATTAAGTCCTCTTGCCCTCACGTGGAGAAGAAGAACCGCAATTAATGTGGGAAACGGTCGCCCGGCCAGGGTCACAAGTGTGTGAGAACCGGAACACTTGGACTACCGGTGTGGACAAGTTGACGACGTGACTTGTAGATAAATTTTAAAAATGATATACTCGAGACGCCTCCGACAGTTGAAAACCGCGTTTGCTTATCCGCACGTTATGTTATTCGCCGAGAGAGTAAATTAAATTAGAGATGTATTAGAAAACCCGCAACATCATCAGAGATGAATCTCATCCAGCATGTCTAGAATTAATTAAAAGCCTTCATTAGGCAAATTGTGATTAATCATCTGGTTCTTAAATCATACTTTCGATTATAGTATCGATGAAGAGAAACTACAGTCGCAGATAGCTCGTATTTTAGCAACTGTCTTTAAATTCATAATATGCAAACATGCAGATGATACTGGTTTTCTGTGTATGTTGCTGTGTGTGTGTGTGTGTGTGTTTGTAATGCTAGATCACATAGTACCAATAATTTCCTATGATCTGACGCGGCACCAACAGTTCTAATTAAAATATTCGTGATTTATATTTGTCTCATTTGTATATCTCTTTCTCTACATACATATAATTAAGGTAAATTTATTTAAATTCTATACGTTTTACAAAAGGAATGCATGTCATTAGCGATCTCTCAGCCAAAGGATTTTTCGTTTCAAAGACGACGCGAATCCATAAATAAAGTCTCACTCATCTCGACCAAACTTGGCCTGGAGGTGATCGGATCCGAAGGCACGGGCGGAATAGTGCGCTTCAGGCTAAGTGCCTTCATAGCCTCACCGAGGACGCGACTTTGACCCAGATACCGGTAAACTGTGCCAAGTAGCCCGCGGATGCAGTTCGTTCGTATCATCTGGATCGAAACCACGTCGAAATGACATGACAGGGATCAATACTTCGATTTCCTAACTGTGCATGGCGATTTGAAGAGCATCATTTTTTTCTCAAGATATTATTTATAAAAGAATTTTTAAACAGTTATACGGAATTCATATATATGTATATGTAATCCATTTAGTATAATATATGTCAAAATAAATAAATTCATAATGCATTTAAAAACATTCTATAACCTAAACCTAGCGTGCGAGAGAAAATTCCCGGTTCGTGAAAATAAAATTCTGACGATATCAAAGTATTCTATTGCCATAATAAGCAATTGCACTAAAAACCGCGGCAATGTAAAATTCCACATTCGTGAGCAATAAGAAAGTTATGTGACAGAAACATAAAATTTCAGATGCGCGACAAAAATTTCAAACGCATTACGCTATTCTACTATCAAAATAAGTTATAACAGTGGAAACTGTATTTCCGTCGAATCACGCGTTCTCGAGTAATAAGCCCCAAAAGTTTGTCGAGTGACATGCAGGTAAAAATCCAAGCATGCGAGAAAAAATTTTCACGATACGAGTTTCATGTATTCTCGTAATAAACAATTTTTAAATGATGACGTCCGATCACGCGTTCGCGAGTAACAAGCCCCGAAAGATTGACAGAAAGGTGAGAATTCAGGTGTGTGAGAGAAAAATTTGAAACATATGATAGTATTCTCCTATCCAAATAAGTCATCGATATGCTAACTGCATTTTCGTCCGATCACGCATTCTCGAATAATAAGCCCCGAAATTTTGTCAAGTGACAGGCAGGTGAAAATCCAGGTGCGCAAGAGAAAAATTTCAAACAAATAACACTGTTTTCGTAGCAAAATAAGTCGCCACTGTGAAAACCGCATTTCCGTCGAATCACGCGTTCGCAAGTAACAAGCCCCGAAAAATTGTCAAATGACAGAAAGGTGAAAATCCAGGTGTGCGAGAGAAAAATTTGAAACGTATGATAGTATTCTCCTATCCAAATAAGTCATCATGGTGAAAACCGTATTTCCGTCCGATCACGCGTTCGCAAGTAACAAGCCCCGAAAGATTGTCAAATGACAGAAAGGTGAGAATCCAGGTGTGCGAGAGAAAAATTTGAAACGTATGATAGTATTCTCCTATCCAAATAAGTCATCGATATGCTAACTGCATTTTCGTCCGATCACACGTTCTCGAGTAATAAGCCCCGAAAGTTTGTCGAGTGACATGCAGGTGAAAATCCAAGCATGCGAGAAAAAATTTTCACGATACGAGTTTCATGTATTCTCGTAATAAACAATTTTTAAATGATGTGTATGTGCCTTATGATCACTCGTCGCTTAAGTCGGTTAAGACCAATAGTGTCAGCTGGATAATGTGTCTTGGAAGCGATAGAGAGAACAATGGAGTGATTTCTCGGAAATTTGGGAGAGAAGACATCGATCGTTTGATCTGTTGTCTTTTGATCTTATCGCTATTTGGCTGAAAAGACGAATCACGCGAGGTTAAGCGGTATCGCGTTACATGTTAGGTTTGTTTTTCGTTCCTGCACTGCTGAACTGGTACAATAAATTAGAGTGAGACAAGTATATTTTTTCTCACTCTAACTTATTGCACCAGTTCAACAGTGAATGAAAAATAAGCCTCTTCTCTCTACGGTTTCCAAGAATGTAGACAGGCCGACCGTATTTGGTCGTGGGAACTAAGGCGAGCGATTTAAAGCGCTCTTGGCTCCTACAATCAGCTAAAAGTTTGGAAATAGTTATAACAACGATCTTATCTAGAATCAATGTAACTTATTTAGATGACTTATCATTCTGACGACGAACGCACGATACTGTGTCAAAACTTCCGACTGTCGACAGTCCGAAGACGGATCCGTTCGCGTAATGCACATTTCCGGTATTTATTTGACGGGAATATCTCATCACGACGGACGCGCGAGATTTTCTTTCAGTACTCTCGACAATACTCGCGCACAAAATTCTCCAACGGATCGGTGATACGAAGCACAATTGACGACTTACATTTCTAGCCGCCATTGATGCAACGAACGCGCGATACTCATCTCGGAATTCACTGCCCGTTCCGTAACATATCTAGTTTGGACACTTATTTGATGATATCTCGTTACAATAAACGCACAAAACTTACTTTCGGCACTCCTGCGATGATTCGAGCACGAGTTTTACATTCGACGAGCCGAAATTGCAAAAATTGCAGCACAATTCAAAAAATACGTTACTCTATGACATCGCGAGCTGTCTTTAACAAGGTCGCCAACCGAATGCTAAGCGAACAATAAAGGGTCTAATAGCTCCTGTACGGGAACGCGCGGCAAAAAAGCGACGCAGTAGTCAATCAATATGCCGTTTTTCTATGAGAAAGCTAGAAATTTATTGACTATTACATCGTTTTTTACTGTAAGCATTTCCGCGTTCTGTGTACAGAAGCCATAAGAAATTATTAGACCCGTTATTTCTGCGTGTAAAGTTCAAATTAGTTCCAAAGTCTCCGCTACGAACCGCCACTTTCCTGAACGGAGAATTAGTGTGGTGTGACTAAATAATGTGTCAGACATACCTTTGCTTTATTAAGTAATACTACTCGATGCGGGGTCATACGTTCTGTTATTTTGTTATAAAAATTAAACATAACGTTCTTGAAAGATTTGATAAACACAAGAAACATACTTTATCATTTTTGTTTAAAAACATGTATACCAATTTCTGTGAAAAATTGTGTTATTTATACAATTGCATTATTTTGTGTTATTTGTAAAAATTTTATTATTTTATGTATCAAACTTTTCTCTAGCAAATATTACTTATATACAGTACTGTAAAATATATTCTTTTATAAAACGTGGCAATAAAGTTTTTGAATAAAAATTGTTCTGGCATTGTTAGCAGTTCTGACATTATTTTAACAATCTTTAAGATTGTTACGTGTTGCTTATTATTTCTTTTTGGATTTGGGTATGACGAATAAAGCAAGAATTAATGTAAAATATTTTAAAAATATGTCTAAATCAAGTATGACAATTTAACTTTTGGTTGTGGAAATTTTCTGCTAAGTATGTCATTACACAATTTACTCAAATAACATCCTTATAAGTTCAATGTTATTCTGAACAAAGTTCATCTGATTTTTTTAATGCCAAACAGAAGGCTACAGTACCGACAGTGAACAAATATTTTAAAGTAAAATGTTAATTACTGTATAGATAAATATCTTATACAATATTTTAACAACTAACAAAATCTTTTTCAGAAAATCATATAAGTATTATGTAATGGCAGGTATATCTACATATTATTACCTGCAAAAATATATTTTTTGGAAACTTTTTTCTAACTTTCCTATCTCAAGCAAATTTGTTCTGTGTACTATGAAGCAGAATCGAAAATGTGGAATGGAAAAAAACAGTGCTTTTGATTTTCACTACATACATATATCTATTGTAGTTAATTCAGACTGGAAGAAACCAAGATTCTTGAGTCATAGTTTTCAATTAGACACATCTTATGACATGATAATGCATTGCAGACAAGTTAGATGTTTCAAATAAAATCTAGAAATGGTAAATATTCTCCAATTAAAAAATTGTTTACAGAAAACAAATTATACAATAGAATTGAATATACTTCCTATCTATTTTGCTTAATCTTAATTCTTTTTAAAATTTCATTTTTTACTTTCTTACAAATGTTAGAGAATACGCAAATGAATAATATCGGAATAAATAATAGAGTACTCTTATTTTTTTTAAATAAAAACACGAACTGATGTGAAATATTTTGTATCTACTAATGTTCAAAGAGAGTAAAATCGACGTCGAATTGAAGCGATCTTTGATGTAGCCTTGACGATGTCGACAATAAAGATGACTCGTCAGCCTTAACTAGCAATGAATCACTAACAATACATATCTTCTTCGGGATTGCGACAGCGGCGAATTATCCATTTAAGGCAACGCTAAATCGGTTGGAAGAACATACTGCGCGATCCACGTGCATTTATTTAAGACCAAATTAGTCGTTTTAGCTTGATGTTCGTGCGATGTTACTTGGAAGGCAATGTTAATAGGAAGTCGCACGATGTAAAACGATGCTCACGTACGTATGATAATCACCGCATCGACGCATTCTTATTTTTCAAACGGCCACGCGTGTTCTGATTACTGCCCGTGACTAAGCACAGTCATCTTATTCATTTGTCGACGAAACAAGATCCATTTACGAGATGAGAAGACTGCATTGTAAAAAAATCATATTTTATGCCTATTTTTTTGGTATTGAATATAAATTGCTTTTTATCGCGAAACATAAAACATAATTCGATTGAAATAGAAGCTATAATGAAGTAATGAATGAAATATGAAAGAAATAATTAAAGTGGCAAACACTGTTATTTTCTTCTTATCGATTATACAACCTTGTCAAAGAGTAAAACTATTCGTTCTTGTGTGTGTGTGTGTGTGTGTGATTTTATCAATATAAAAGTAAAAAAATATTATTTTTCCATTGATATGAAAAAGACATGCGTGCGAGTTGTTACTTTGTTTGGCATGTCGTAGTAAAAATATTATTTATAGACTAAGAGTTCATTAAGGCACTGCCATTCTCCTATTTGTCAATAACACAATGACATCGTAGTTATTATGGATTCCTCCAAAGAACTGGCTTCAAAATCCATTGTTGATCGGCATTCTTAGTGCACGTCGCTATCACGGGTGTATCATCGTCTGTTGTTGCTTGAAGGCACATTCCAGAAGGCACGTGTAAAAATACCTTTGTCTAAAAATATTGATTATTTTACTACTTCTTATAATGTTTATTATTTACATTACGAAAGTATAAATTGACATTTTCGTAGCAATCATAATCTGCCAAACAAAACGTTATTGTAACTGATACTTTACTAGTAACAACATACTTTTTCGTCATATTGCCACTTTTGTCTATCGCGACCGCTACATGCCATTATCTTTACTTTGGGCGTTTTTTGCTGCGTATCTCGTTCTGGTGCATCCAAGCACACGCTCTCATCCGTCATTATTACTCCGCTTTTAGTCATCACAAACATCTGGCTAAGCATCGGTCGTAATATGCATGAATGTAGGACTGCATGTCCTGACGGTTGCGTATAAGAACCTTTAGCAGTCGGTCGCATAAGACATCGGTCTGTTGCAACGTGCATTATCTGAAATAAATTTTATACTTTTTATATTTCCACTAATTTCATAGTCACCTAAGCATTTGATAAAATTCGTGAATTAACTTTACCTTGCCGAAGAACCGGTCATCCGTAGGGAAGAAGTGTTCGGGCCACACATTTTCTAAATACCATTCGAAACTTTTACACTGCAATTTCTCGCGTAAAGCTAATCTCGAGCGGACTTGCTGCTTATATCTTAATCTTGCTGCCTCTAATAAAATCCGAAGTACAAGGATTCATCGATCCATGAAATTGAAGATCTATTCCGGTAGATAAAGTAAATTTACACGTACTAGCATTAATGGTGATCTCACTTACCAGGATTAAACTTGAAATAGAACTCCGCCCATTGATCCATCCATACGGAGGCGACTCTGACAAGATTGCCGTACAAGATATCACCGACACCGCCCGGGAAGGTGTACGGAGAGGATTTTCGAAAGAGATGACCGACGTGAGAGCAAGGAGCTATCTCGATACTGCCACCGCATTGCCATGCTCGGAATGACAATTCCAAATTCTCCCCTCCCCAGATACGCATTTGATCGTCGTAGCTGCCCAAATGGAAGAAATAATCTCTATTCATTGAAAATAACCCACCTGCCATTGCAGGCGTTCGAAACGGCTCGACAATGCTTTCGCGCCTCTCCTTCAACAGACGACCGTTCAAAGTTAACCAGCGAAAATGTAAGTCCCAGTTGAATGCACCCCAATGCAGCTCAAATGATCTGTAAGGTTGTTAACTTATTACTAACTTGTAAGTCATTTATCAGAGCGAACGAGAAGAATAGTCTTATCGAGATTACTATCATAATAGGAATGTAAATTACCTTGTATAACTGAACGTATTATCGTTTATGATGTCAATTACTGGAGAGATGATTCTCGTTGCATTTTTACTAACTGCCTCGAGTAGCGGTTCCAACCATCCTGTAAAAATCGAAAACAATAATATTACATGATATAAAAAGAAATTAAATATCTGATTTCGTTATAATGTAAAAGAGCTTACCTACCAACCGTGCATTCGCAATGAGCATCGAGAAAAGTGAGAACTTCACCTTTAGCATCATTCGCTCCCAAGAGTCTTGCCTTTATTAATCCTATACGTTCATGAGATCGCAAAACTTTTGTGGGTATGCTCAATTTATCCATGTATTCATCTAAAGGATTCTTCAGGAATTCTAGCAACATATAATAATAGGAAGAATGTTACACAGAATGTGTATGCCAAAGCATGATTTATTATAAGCCCTTAAATTATTAAATACCTCTCTCACTATTGTCATCGACAAGAATAATCTCTTCTAGCAATTCTCTCGGAGATCTATTAATGACGCTATGCACTGTCCTTAACAGTGTGCTCCATGCTTCGTTATGAAATACTATGATGATCGATGTTTTCGGTAATTTACCTAAGTTTGCATATCTCGTGATGCACCTGCACAATTTTCAATATGCAACTACTGCTTAAGCCTTTATGATGAAATGATATTAAAAAACTTTATAAGAAGAGACAGCACTCCTACCTCTTTTTTCTAACGTCGGGTAAAGACCGATTTAATGGTATCCTATCGCTAGCCATTAAATTAAATCGATTAATTTGGTATAACTGCTGCATCTTGTAAAAATCTTTTGGATGTATTACTACAGGTTCTCCATTTTTACCTTCAAGTGGTTTTGGGTCGAATAAATTTTGATTAATCAGATCTGAAAGGAGAATGAACGATATTTAATATCTCTTCTTTGCTCTCATCAATATTTTCACATAATGCAATTCTATCTATTACCTTTTGTAATATTTGGAGTTTTCAACGAATCTACAGAATCCCCTATGTAATGACCAACTACTACATGAATTCCCCGACGATCAATATAATCTTTCTGATCACCATGCGATCTGCAACGATCAAAGATGAGCTATGTTTAAATCAGTATATATAAATCGACTAAAGTATATTACAATTCTCTGATTAAAAGGAATATATGGTCAGCAAGAACAGGTCACTGAATGTTAGTGCAAATAATTAAATTATGGAATAGTTATTGGGTAATATTGTTCAACAGTGTAAACGCACACTCCAAACATTTTTTATTTTGAATTATTGTATTTTAACTAATACCCTTCCTTTTTAAAATCCCAATTGTACATCTACTATGATTCCTATTAATAAATATATACGTACTAGCGAAAAATTATATTATCCTCCTATAATTTAATTATTCGTACTAACATTCAACGCACGGCTCTTATTCGCCTTATATTTCTTTTAATTAGAATAAGAATATAGAATAAGAATAATATATAATATATAAAAATAATATATAATATAATTAGAATAAGAATAATAATAGATTAGAATAAGATTATATTCAAAATAGAGCTTTTGATATAGTATATTTTGATATAGTATATTTTGATATAGTTTAATACAATTTAATTTATTGAATATTATGTACCGTAATGAGAAAAAATCATCCTGTCGATCAATACTCCTCCCTCCATTCCTAAACCAAATAAGAAGCGTGCCAGCGAGTATAATGATCAAGGAAATGATCGCCGATAGGCGACGAGATCGTCTTAATCTCGGCCACATACTACTGCCTATTAGTCCATGATATCCAGTCACGTTTTTTTCTTCTTTGATGTATATCAGATTGACTCACACTGATCAGTTTCGGGAAGTCTCACTTGGCTTTACTTCATCAAGCTGTTTGAAATTATCATATGAGTCCAATTTCTGTTATCACAAGTTTCTTGTGATCAGCAGGTCGGGTCATTGTAACAAAAAAGGAAGATTTCACGATGAACTCTGAAAGAAAGATTTTTACTATTAAAGATACTATTATTAATTTTCTTTACTACTTAACTCTATGTGTTTTCATCTTGTTAGTAAATTTTGCTTCTTACCTTGATAATGGTAGATTTCTCTGTGCTTGTTAAATAATTAATAAATCAAATAGTTCAAACTATCAATGTCTCTATTATGTATATATAATACATATATAAAAATTAGAGTGTTATGAACTAAGATCGATAATATTTTTATAATATTATCTTTAGGAATAGATATAGCTTATTATCTTTAGGAATAGCTTTATATTTAGGAATAGATTTAACAAAGAGAATTAATAATATCTTAATGTAAATTTAAAAAATAGCAATTGTATATAATAGTTTATAAAGAAAAACAGAAAAAGAAAAAAAAACATATATATGATTGATTTTAAAGCAAAAGAACTATAAGCTATGTAATAAAAATAATAAAAATATTATTTAAAGAGATATAGTATAATAGAGTTTAATATGTGAGAAATACTTAATAAAAGATGATAATACAACCACTACAATAAGATATGTATGAAAATTGTTTGTAAATCATGGAGCAATAATGTAGCATTCAAGCTGACAATACAGACAAAAGTATAACTTGAAAATTTATGTAGCAATAAAATCAATAGATATTATGAAACATTGTAAAACTAACCATGATACTACGTAAAGTATGAAATAACTATGTTAAACTAATTCTGTAATATAATTTCACATAGTGGTATAGCTCACGTATTTATGGAATAATAAATGATTTAATACTAAGCAACATAGGTACCGACAATCTTGTTTTATGCAACACCATATATGTACAGATCACTTCAGATTACAAAATTATAAAACAATAAAGCCAAATGTACGTACATACATAAGGAGGTAAAAAATTGCTCCTTTCCTTTTAAAAGGTGCAGACAACAAAGAAATTTAATTAACAACACTTCAACAGTGAATCGCCTTGCAGCTTCGGCAAGAATGTCTCGTCAACTAAAAAAGTACAGACTGGCGGTAGTTGAATCACCAGTTGGGTGTCACCATTCGAAGTAGCAGCCGACGCATGGAAACGAGGACGCGGGTTTCGTAATACATCAATTGTTCCATGGAGGGCGATAGCATCGGCTCGCATGTAGCTCGCCACGTTGGAAGACTTGACGGGTGGTTGCGGCTTGGCAGATTCCCTACGTACTATTTTATATAAAGTCTCTGTTTACAGCAGCTTATATACGCCAAGGTGAGAGGACATCGTTTAACAGAGTTACTACTATCGCTATCGTTCGAAAAATAATAAATTCAATCACGAACAACTAAATCTCTATCCCTGTACTGTCAGCTGCTTTTTATAAAAACATCATCTCTCTGTTATATTTATGTAATTAAATCCTGTTACTCGAGTTTTTTATACCGTAGTGTATCGTGTTACCAAGAAAGAACTGTTAGCTTGCTGTATTGCATAATGCTACTTTGCAAATACAAGAAACATTAATTAGATGTTCTTTCACATAAGTACAGATGAAGATCAAGGAGCTACTGAAGACGGTGAATGTAGCATGGTCTCCACCAGCTCAACATCCTATTATGTTAGCTGCAGGGACAGCTGCACAACAATTAGATGCAAGCTTCAGTACTTCTGCCAGTTTGGATCTGTATTCATTGAACCTGCAACAGCCTGGATATGAAATGGAACTTCAAGCTAGTATTCCCAGTGATCATAGGTATCTATAGTTTGTTGATACAATAAAATTAATCGATGTGTTATGCTTGCTAACTATATGCCATTGATTGGTGATTTAGGTTTCACAAGATTATTTGGGGATCCTATGGAAATAACCCTGCTGGCATCATTGTTGGAGGTTGTGACTATGGCATGATAAAAATTTACTCTGCTTCAAAGTTGTTGGCTAAGGAATCTAACTGTTTGATAAGCAGTCCTGATAGACATACTGGTCCAGTTAGAGCAATGGATTTTAATCCCTTCCAAGCTAATCTATTGGCTACAGGTGCAACAGAGAGCGAAATTTATATTTGGGATGTAGTTAATACAAACACACCTATGACTCCTGGTTCCAGAAGTCAGCCATTAGAAGATGTTCAGTATATTGCTTGGAACAAACAAGGTTTTTATGTTAGATTATAATCAAATTAATTACACATGTGTTAACTTTAAGAATAAATATTTATCTTAATTTGATTTTGATAATTAATATTATTCTTATCTCACTTTACAGTACAACACATTCTTGCATCAACATTTTCACAATGTTGTGTTATATGGGACTTGAGAAAAAATGAACCAATTATTAGACTGACAGATGCAAATTCAAGGGTACAGTTTCTCTTATTCTATGATGCGATATACAAAATATAATTCAGAAAATTTTATAATTATTATGTTCTAATTATAGGTACGTTGGAAAGTTGTTCAATGGCATCCTGATGTTGCAACGCAACTGTGCTTAGCATCAGAGGATGATCAGACACCCATTATTGAATTATGGGACTTAAGATTTGCAATGTCTCCTCTGAAGACATTACAAGATCATCAGCGTGGTGTTCTTTCAATTGCATGGAATCCGCACGACCCCGATCTACTTTTGAGTTGTGCCAAAGATAACAGAATTTTGTGCTGGAATCCTAACTCAGATGCACCGGTATGCAATGTATAAATCTTTCTTAAGATATGTCAATAAAAAGTAAAATATGAACTTTATACATATCAACTTTGAATTGCAGAATGGTGAAGTAATATGTGAGTTGGCTCAAACAAAACAATGGAACTTCGATGTATCTTGGTGCCCAAGACATCCAGGACTAATCGCTAGCAGTAGTTTCGATGGTTACGCTGTTGTTTATTCCTTGCTAGGTGGACAGCAACAAACTTCTATGGGAACGTCCAGTAAAATAGCAGATTCGTTTCCAGGAATGGAAACTTTCACTCAGTTCCCACCTACAGTACAAACTGAGAAGACAGCAATACTGACAAAAGCTCCCAAATGGTTAAAGAAGCCATTTGGAGCATCATTTGGAGTGAGTTTTTAATTTAAGTTTATATTATTGTGTTGACATTAAACAGACAACTTTCTTTTATAATGAAAAGCAATGATTGTTTAATGAAGACGCTACCATTTTCAGTTTGGTGGTAAATTGGTGATTTTCGAGAATCTACCCAGTGATCCGAATTTACCAATAAACTCAAACAGAACAGTTATTATATCGCAAGTAATAACACAACCCAGTCTTATTCAACGTTCCAATAATTTGGAAGAAACACTGAAAACTGCACAATATAGCGATTATTGTCAAGGAAAGATAGATAGATCTCCAGATGAACATGTCAAAAAGATCTGGAGCTGCGTTCATGCCTATTTTGGTGAAAATGTGACGAAAAATATATTGGAATTATTGGGTTACAATATTGACATAATGAATAACAAACTAAATCAGTATGTACCTCAGGATGATATGAACAGTATTATTGAAGGCGTCTCTAATCTCAACAATGTGAGATTTTCACTAATATGTACACATTTGTGTCGTTACGATATTAATACTGTTTCTCTTATTCATCTTAGGTGCTGAATGGGAATGTTTTAGATGGCAGTGCTGCATTTGATGCCATTGCGCAAGAACAAAGTAAAAAAGTAGTCTCCTCAAATAAATCTACAGACAATATTTACACCATAAATACTTCTGATGGTAATATCTGTATACGCTGATAAATTTAATATAAAAAATATGAGAGTTTACTAACGAATCGTACTTGCATTGCTTTCTAGATGAGGATGGTCTCATCACTCAAGCCGTCCTCTTAGGAAATATCGAAGCAGCCGTGTCTTTGTGCTTTGCCAACAAAAGATATGCCGATGCCATCATCCTCTCGATGGCTGCTGGCCCCGAATTAGTAGCACGTACCCAGTACAGATACTTCTTAGAACATTCCGGCCCATTAAATTCTCTGATTAATTCACTAGTTAGTGAGAATTGGACAGAGGTTGTCATGAATAGTGATATAAAGTGTTGGAAGGAAGTATTAGTCGGCATATTTACACATTCCAGTGCAGAAGAACGACCTGCTTTGTGCGGTATGGAATGATTTTACAAAAATAATTTGTTCCATTTGTATCATTCACGTGTTTATAACATGAATCTTTTCCAACAGATATGCTTGGCGACCGTTTGACTTCCTGTGAGAATCCTATTCTCAAGAAGCAAGCGGAAATTTGTTACATTTGCTCCGGCAATTTGAATAAGTTAATCGAGGTGTCCGACGGGGACATTCAAGAAGTGGTGGAATTAGTTGTGATAATGCAAAAAGCTTTGGAATTTCAAGGTATTAAAGAGATTCAGATAGAGGATAAAATCGCTACTGTACTATCCGAATACGCGGAGATGTTAGCGGCGGAAGGCAATCTAGAGGCCGCATTGAATTATCTCGGAAACAGTCAAGAGCAAAGAATTTCGATGTTGAGAGATCGTCTCTTTAGAGCTTTGGGCTACATAGAGGAACAGAAGCATGTCACGAAGCCCATGACTCAAAACTATTATGACCGAAAATTATCGCAGATGTCGCAAAATACATATAGCTCGCAAGTACAGCAACCATTGCAGCATCAACAGCAACAGCAGCAAACAGCGCCAGTGCAAAATTGGAACACGACTCCTTTGAAGCAGACTTACGGGTCCACCACGAATCAGTTTACGAGCCAGCCGTCTCAATCGTACGGAATGCCACCGCCTCTTCCTCAAGCTCAAATACAGTCCGGGATGTACGATCAATATTCCACATCGCATCCGTACAACCAGATCCCAGCGGCTCAGCCTCCACCGCCACCTCCAACTACGTCGAACTCCAGTTTGAGCGGCTCAAGACCGCCCAGTGTCGGTCCTCAGTCAAGATCGAAGTATCTTATAGATCCGTCGGTCAAGTCCACACCTTCGTACGGTCAGAGCAACTTTCCGCCGCAGAATCAATTTTACAACTCTCAGCAAATTTCGTCCGTTCCCGGTTACCCTTCACCAAACCCCTATCAACCTCAAGTTCCTGTACCAGGTGCCACCTATCCTCCTAACCAGCCGCCAAATTTCATGAACAATCCAAAGGAACCTGAGCTTTACAAGTCGCTTCCGCCGAACGCGATGTCACCGTTACAAATTGCATCTCAGATTCAAATGTACGATCCTGTTAGATCCCAGCCACCTCCGTCAACGCAGACATACGGAAACGAGAACATGTACCAGTTACCGCCACAACCATCTGGATGGAATGATCCGCCGATCGGGAAAAATCCCAGAGTACCGGTAAATCAATATTCTTAACTTACCCGATTACATTGTTTGGTTTTTATTGATAATCATTAGCCACATTATACACACACACGCTATCGTTTGGATAAGTTTCTTATATTTAAATACTGATATACATGTATATTAAAATTATGTAGCCAGTACTGGCATTATACGAAAAAAACGAAATGTCTGCGGAACACGCTGGCACCAGGAGGTGGAAGACGAAGCATTCGAAAGGTTTAGGCGTTAAGGTAGCCGGTTTCACACATTAAGAGTGTTACAATTACAATGATTGTCGAATACGTACCGTCATTGTTACTTTCCTCGTTACTTATACACTCGATTAATAGGATTAATCCAACTGGTCATGATGTAACTTTTGTATATTGCTGTGATATGAACTAATAAGTGTGCTGTGTGAAAAAAAGACTACATTTTGAAATTGGTGTCACGCAGATAGTTGTGTCATTCATTCTTATATTTTGACTTATATACCATAAAACCATATAAGAATAGAACATATTTTCATATATTTTATTGATACATCAGATCATATATTGAGAGTTTCTGCACTAGCTACTTTCCAAAGTTGCACAGTGCGTTTGTTGAGCTTCATATTGTCTGAAAGCTTTCATTTATCTCCGGTGTCATAGACAAACACCGATCACTATTACAGGATGGCTGAAAAGTGCAAGAAAATCTTGAAAAACAAATTCAAGTTAAATTTTTTTGTATTTTTTTCTTCCAGCCAAAAACAGAATTTCAACCACAGAATCCTATTGTACACCCGTTGAGAAGTAATCAGGCAGAGCCGAACGTAAGTTTTATTCATGATTTCTATATACATACCTATATGTATGCTCATATGTTATTAACACAATGTAATTTACAGTTGTTAGCTAAAGACAATTTCTATCAAGATCCTCACGCACCTTGCAATCCACAATATGGACAAAGCGTGCCAGCCGCTCCACCATTCAACAAACCAATAGAATCACCACTACAACCTGTAATGCCTGCGAGAATAGTTGAACCTGAGAAACCTAAAGTACCTATTCCCGAGCAGCATATGCATTTGAAAACGATATTAGATGAATTAAGAAATCAATGCTATGAAAGTGCAAAGAGCCCAGTAAGTACTTTAACGTGTCGTATCACATCATGAAATTCGTAGTATCGACTACTTTATATTTTTATCGTTTAAAATTCGTTTTGCGTTGCTTTCTTTTCTTAGCAAATCAAAAGAAAGCTAGAAGATGTGTCGAAGAAATTAGAAGTGCTATACGATTGCCTTAGAGAAAATAAGGTAAGTCAATTATTTAATATTATTACGTGCATTTTTCATAACTATGCACATATTTTTTAGTTATCCCAAAATACTTTGCAAGGATTACATCAAATATCACAGATGATTCAAAATGGCAATTATACAGGAGGATTAGACTTACATACACAATTAGTGTCAGGACCCGATTTTAGTGAAATAGCTTCCTTTATGCCCGGGATTAAAGTATTACTTCTAAGTGCCCTTCAAATGAGCGTTTACATTAGATAGAATGCTCAAGTATACTATGTTGTTTATATGTATCCATTATGAATTTTTTTGTAATTCTAAACAGCCTTAATGAGAGTTATTTGTGCTACATTAACTTTATATAACATAATCAGTATAAGATATATAAAATAGTCATAATGTAGTACATAATTATATCCATAATTAATCCTGTTACTTAGCTCTCTTTATATGTCATCACTCGTGTTTAATAGACTGGAAGATAAAAACTCCCGCTTTAATTGTTCTTTTTTAATGAAAGTCAGTAGTCCTTATTACGTATTCTCTTTTATCGATAAAGGTGTCTAAATAAATGGCTTATTAACTTTCAGATTAGTTTTGAGTCACTGAGAGAGACTGTTATCGATAAAAGAGTTCAGCCAATATATATTTTCGTACTCTATATATCCAACTAAGATAAATCTTGTAATAATTTTAATTGGATTTACATATTAAATTTTATCTACATATTTTTTAATTAGAGGATATTTATTCTCTAATTAAAAACAAGAAAATGGGAAAGAGCATTTTTTATGCGATATCTTATAAATTTATCCTATTAAGCGCAAATGATGGCATGCAAGAGAACTATTTTATTTCATATAATGTAAGAATAGATCATATATGATTTTCCGCTTATACCATAATCGAATATGGCTATTGACCAGATGATTCATCAGAAAGTTTAAGAATCATATTTTATCTAGATTAACTTTATATAATTTTGCCAGTTATCAATCTTTTATTGTTAAATATATAAGAGAAATAACGAGATGTTACAGACGTCCGTACAAAAATTTAAAAAATAAGATGTTACAAAGAAATTTGTTTTAACAATTCTACATGTATATATTATAGTGTCAAAATGGATCAAGATAAGATTAAGCACTTAATTTTTTAAATGTCAAATTCAATTTTAAATCTTTATATTAGTTATTGATATAAATATTTCAATGTAAATTATGTACACGGACAACGGTCTTCTGTTTTTATTTAATATGTAAAGTGGGATTTTGCAATAAATAATATTGGCATACTCTTTAATTGTATAAATTTGTACAATGTTTTGAAAAATATTTTCTAAATTACAAAATATTATTTATTGCCATTAAGTGCAACCTGCGAAACAGATTGGAGTTATGGATTTCGCGTATGCAGTTTTAAATAATATAAAAATAATATAAAAATTCTTATCAAATGCAAGCTATGATAATAAATGATAGGAAACTATATGTAGTCATTGGATAATTAAAGTATGCAGAATGGCATTTTTCTCGTTGACAATAAATTTCTGCAATAATTCATCCAAAGAGTCAATACCGTCTCGTGCGGCTTGTCGACGCATAATTTGCTTGATCTCCTCACGTACTCCTTTATCAGCACCACGAGTAGTGATGCGGCGATCTAAAATAACTTTTCTATTACAACTTTTTTTATTTGTACATGCTATAACATGCATATTTGTGTAACATGCTAAGTATATTAAAGGTGTCATCATATATACTTTGTAATACTCCCGAGTTCGTAGCTATGTCCAGAGATATTCCATGTCCATGTTCGGTCCATAAATATATTAATTCTTCTAAAATATCTACGCATATAATATACGTTTGGAACAACGGATAAGCGAAACTCCCGCGACTGATGATTCTTTCTATCATTGTACATAAAGTACTAGCCTCCTGTGGCCAATCTATCTGCATTAGAACTAATGCATGTCCAATAGCTAAATCTCCAACGCCTCCAGGTAAGGAAAAATCCCTACTATCCTTATCCTAAATTTATATTGACCATATATTCATAAAATTGATACTACAAAAATATTACGTTCAAAAGAGGATTATTACCTTTGTAGATAAAAGAAGCAATTTACAACAATATTGCAAAATAGGGAAACGAGCAAGAGTCAAGTAATGTAAGTGCCTTATACTTGGAGCTGTTAAATTGTGAGATACTTTTCCTGATACAACTGGTAAAGAGTTTGCTACTAAAACAATATGTTCCAACATAATCTGAAACAGGAAATGTGTTACTGATAATTTCAAAGGAAAAACAGGATCTTCTCTATAATTTACCATAAATTTTGATCATAAAATTAAAAACTTAACGCACCTTATAATTTTTCAGATAAAAATTTGTACCAGCTAAGCGAAGATTGACAGATAAACTACCACTTTCCTGCGATAATCTAGCCAATACTTCATGATGTAAACCTTTGTACATTGCCAAATCTGTTAAAAAGGTATTTAACCAGACTTCTAGTCGTAATTGTTGGATCAGTTTAGCTTTTTCTCTCTGGAGATGGTCAGTACTTTGTAATAAGTCCCATAACTTTACTGCTAATGCTAAACCATTGCCACTATAGTCATTGTCACTGGTTATTATTACTCCATTCTCTTCACGTTTCCGTTTTTTCAATTTGGGTTCTGGTTTGTACAATACAAGATGTAACTGTAAAGACTACAATAAAAGATGTAACTATTGCTACGACATAAATGCATCTTACCTGCAGGAATATGAACTTCTTCCCCGAAAGCTTCCACGAGACAGTACGTAATATCGTCATTGTTCATAAGAACAGTGTGCTCATTCAATAGCCTTAATAATACTACAATTGTGCACATCAATAATTGTTTGACTATGACCTCATCGCAAGGAACTGTACTATGTGAGATAGCATACTGTTGCAGTCTTTCACTGTACGCCTCACGGTTCCAAGGCATAGAAAACAGATTGCTCAACTCCCATCCCAATTTCTTGCCCATTAATTCTACAATTTGGAAAAGCCTGTCCCATGGATTTTGTATTTGTGCATCTTGTGGTTGCTGTATATATGCCAAATAGAATTCTATAGCTTTACAAAGCAATCGTAAACTGAGACGAGTATTCAGTTCTACAGGAGCTGTACCAAGTAGCGGTAATGCATCACAAGCCAATAATCTTCTGAAACCATTTACTGCTCGACCTGGGTGACTATGTTTCTCTGCTGTTAACAATGTTTCTACTAAACGTGGCTAAAATGATAATATAAGTTATTTTCTAGAAAATAAATGCTCATGTATTCTCATATACTTTTAAGTACATACTCCATGAGTTGCAATTGTTGGAGGAAACCTACGTAGTAACAACAGCAACAATTTGCAATGCTCCATTGTATCTTCACTATGATCAGCTGTCATTACAAGCAATCTATGCTGTAATTCCTGTGGAATATGTTGAAACATTTGGCATAAAAATTCTGCTTCTGGATCACATTGTTCTGAACGAAGACAAGCTGTTATTGTCTCTATCTCTTTCCATATATCGCGATCATCAGGGAAGTTCTGAAATCTATACTTTCTCATTTACATATAAAAATATTTAAAAGTTAAAATATGATCATATATATGTATACTTTTTATGGCACTTTTCACTTACATTTCACTGAAACATTTAGCAGCTTCTTTTACATTTTTTGATAGTTTCTCAATATGATAAGCCTCAAACTAAAAGTAAATCATAATAAGATCGAGTATTATCTATTTTTAATAGATAGAATAGATAGAATATATATAGAAAATAATAAAAAGAAAGATTAAGTATATTCATGATAACATACTAACCTGAACCTTTGCACTATGTGGAAATAAAGATTTTGCTGTAATTAACCATGATTTAGCCGCATATATGTCGACAGGTAGAGCTTCTTTTGCTCTCATTATTAAATAATCTTCTTTGGATAGTTGATTATCCGGTCCGGAAGTTTTTTCTAACATTGTGTAATATAATTTAAGATTACTATGTCACATAACACGCGAGAGCAAGTCTGATTGAGGTGCGTTCGGGGAACTCACTATTAGCGCTATTCAGCGTTATCAGTGTCATTCTATCTTTGTTGTATATCTAAGGAACAATAAAGATAGAAGAACGCGGTAGCGTTAGTAGCGTGCTCCCCGAACGCATCCTTGGTCTGCTCTTTTCAGCTGTACTGCTACACTAAGTGGTATACTACGCTACACTAGCTACACTAATAGCGAATTCGGTTGCTTGCACTAGTGTGCACTGAGTGCGCACTAAGGCTTGTTCATAGTATGTTATTATATTTAAAAATTGTCTTAAATAATTCTCAAATAAATTCTCAAATATTTTTAATCATAATATGATATGTATAACATCCGTACGAATCATTTTATTAGTTAAAATGTTTTTAAATATGTATTTAAGACACGATCTTAAATATAAGAATGTACTGTAAACAAGCCTTAATGCGCACTCAGTGCGCACTAGTGCAAGCTACCGAATTCGCTATAAGGTAAGTAATGGTTCGTAGCGGAAACTTTGGAACAAACCTGCAAAAATAACGGGTTTAATAATCGACATTCCTAGGATACAACCCATTAAACGCTATAAATGCTTTGAAACGTACAAATTTAAGAAATCTATTTGATTTAAAATTCTTCTTCTTAGGAACAAAACAGGCATAATTTTTGTACTGCGGGCTTTTTAATAGATACATTATTATAATTGATTAATTTGCTGGGTCAATATTTTGGTCTTCCGAGTTGTAAGCACTGCCATATTTGAAATCATTCCAAGAAAGAACGGCGCCGCGACGACACCGGCATTCGATAAGGTGCCTTGCATCTCTCGTAATTTCAATTCAGAGTAGATATCACGCTCGAGTTATTGTCTCCCGTAATGTCGTAAGTGAATATGTCATAATAATATATTGTTCAATAATCGCAGAAAGACAATATTACGTCATCAAATATTCGGGGAAAAGTACCGTGCAATGTCGCGTTATGATCGTTCGAACTCCAATCATTGCTCTTTATATTTCCTACTTAACAATAGCATCTTATTCGCGTATCATTGCCGGAATGTCAAAAATAACGTTTGTTATGACAAAATATCACTAAAAAGCCGAAAGTAAATACCGTCCATATCAAGTCAATTGAGAATACCGAGTGAAATATGACGTATATTGAGATGCTTTGAATATTTTAATCGTTGTGATCTTCAGTCTATTTTGGAACGGATCATGGTGTAACGTCGCTCCAAAGTCATGCCGTATTTCTTGCGATTTCTACTCGCCAAAGTCGGTTCCCGCGCGCGGATTTTTGTTCCCGGGAATATCGAATGTGATTCCACGTTCGCCATGTCGAGATAACCGTTGACGATGATATCTCGCGTGGATAACTCTCGTCCGTCGTAAGTACCGAGCAAAGTGCCGAGAGTTCGCTGCATTATGGCGGGTCAAATATTTCAAATCGTCTCCATTACACTCTCCATCCGTCGGAGGAGAGCTTCGAGAGTGCGAGCTAGTCGTATCGTCGGGAGTGCCGTTCAAGAAAATCGCGCGTTTATCGTTTATTGTGTTCTGGCAGTCTGGGGCCCGAGTCGCTGTTCCTGATTCTTCCGTATTGTCGAGAGAAAAGCTGGTGAGTAACTCTTAAGTAAAAACTATGTAACAAAAACGAGGTTCTATCAAAGACCGAAGTCCTCATTAGAGTTTGCATGACTAACATAGTTAGTCTACAATAATACGGTGTGCATTCCACATAACCTAATCACAACATTAAAATATGTACTGTACGATATAAGCTAGTTGGTGGAGCATCTCTATGATGCCGACACAGTCGGTAATGTCGCACTCTCTCAGTTGTCCATAAGTAAACGCGCAACTTTACCTACGGGGTATCGCTTTTGATAGTATCGACAAGCATATTGTCGATAACTAAGGAAACGTATATATGTTGTAAATTAAATCATACCTTTGAAATTTTCTGTCACCGAATAAATAGTTCTGTATAATTACTGTCTCTCTTTTTCTCATATACATATATAGCACAATATAAATTATTATTATTTATCAAGTCGCTAGTTGTCTAATTATATATTTAAATGTTCGTTATTATTAAAAGCTAAAATATTAAAAGTACGTATAGATATGTATCGAAGACACGATAATGATTTGATTATCCGTTCCGATCTCTTATATTCTCTTATTAAAATTAATAGAAAAGAAATGAGAAGAATAAGGACATAAGAGAGTAATTCCGCGAGAATAGTTTCTCTATGAGTCTCTTTTTGAACACACGACGTACCTCGATATATTCCTCTTTTGTGCGTGCGCGCACGCGTCAATTAATTTCAATTATCGCACAGCAGCGCGGCTTAATGATCATTATCGTCTCGATTACGAACATCATCAATTGCCATGCAATCCGCCGCTACACGTCGTCCTATCCGGTGCGGCACGAAGGCCGTGGTGATTTTTCTCGAGATTTTCCGCGGGACGCGTCGCTCGACATCGCGGTCGGCCAACAAAGGGGCGTAATTTTGCAAATCCCCTGAGCGATATGGACCGTCGGCGTTTCCGCACCGGTTTTCCGAGCGGTTCCATTTATAAAGATATAACAGCGGCTAAATCCGCTTACTCCGCGACGCAGATTCTGCCATGGCCTCCCGCGAAAGCTCCCTTAAGTGGTTATGGCGCTTTGGCTTTGTATCCGGCGACTTTTCCGAGCTCGACTTAAGCATCGGAAATAAGCCTCCATCAGTGGTCATGATTAATGCGCAAAAATGGAGCCGCGATCGAGTTCCTTTTCCTCGTGGCTCGAAAAATTGCGCGATCGTTCTTTAAAGTAAGACTGAGATCCTTCGATAACGCAATCGCACCACGCGAAATTTTTAACGCGATAATTTCTGCGGGAGGCTCTTTCCAGTACGAAACGACCCTTCGAATTGTCAGGAGCGTCGAAAACCGACGGAAAGGCACCGTTTCGGGCAAGATCCATGCAGGGGGCGACTGTGCGTCTCGTCTACAACTGAATTTCGTATCTGCGAGATGGTTAGGGGTGCAGCAGCCGGTGGTTGTGTTAGTTACCCTCTGTCTCCTAGCCTCCCCTCCTCGGCAGGCCACAATGGCATTAAAATTACCGAGGAAATTCAATTCCCTGTTGGATATGTATCGCGTTCGCGTAGCTCGTACTCGCGCGGTCGCTCGATCGTGCACGCGGAGATACGCGGTGCCGAGAATTCATGGCGGACCGGCCGAAATTCGATATCAATCCGTGTCAGTAAAACATGTCGATTGAAGATTACAAAATGAAAGGGATGAAAATGAAAAATAACGCGTTGATCGATAATACCGCGTCACAATACTGACAACAGCTCGTGTTTTCAGACATCTGCGAGGAAGTGTGCGGAATGTGCGCGAGACGAGATGGCGGGGAGTTTGGGACAAAGTGCAACCTATGGTGAGTCACTTCACTGTTTTGCCGAAATTTCGGTTGTGTCGATCAACGTGAATTCAAAATGCTACTTTATTGAAATATAGTATTATATAATAATTACCGCTTGTTGGCGCTGACATTAATCGTTGATCGTCATTGACTATTTCCCGATTATCGTGCGTCTCAGTATTGGGAATTATATAACTGGAGAGAGAGATTATCGCGAGGAACTCGCCGATTTCACGGCACACTTTCAGTCGGTATTTTCGCGCAACGCACTCGACTCATCGAGTGCTAAAGGAAGCTTAATTAACTTAAATACGAGATCGTGATTAAGTCCGTCGGAATAAAACGGAGCTCGCGATAATATACGAAATTACATTCCCATTGAAACTGCTTTCGGTAAATATTTGCGCAAGTGTCCGTAACTTCCTGGGAATCTCTGCTAGGGCGCATTGATGACGCGGCAACGTCCCTGAATGAAGTAACGCGCAATGTACATATGCGTGAACACGCACTCAGACGTGTGTACAGGGTGTGTACAGGGTGTTCCTGTGCCGAGCGCATCTTGCTTCAGAATTTTTTGGCAAATACGTTACTCATTCTTGCTATATTTGTTTTTATTGATTTCAAAACGACCCCGTTTTAGAGCAAACTTATCTACGAAATTTCGAGATATCTAACATGTTAAGTATTCCTAAATTATGATATAAACAATGAAGTTTTTAATCAAATCTATTTTAAACATAAATTCTCACATAATACGAGCGACTGAAAGACGTCGTGAAATAACTTCTGAGAGGCGTTCTTCGTTCTTTCACACATTTCTCCAACATCCATTAAATATTTTCCGTTGTGACTTTCGTGCCGTTTCCGGAAACGAGACTCGTCTGAGAATTCCCTCGACCAAAGGGAGAAACACGGTCGATCAGAAACACCCTGTATATCGCCCACAGCCACGTACCGGCAACCACTATGGATAGCTTAGGTTGGTTAGTTAGCGTGCAAGTACACGTATCAAAGGCACTCAGAATCCGAGCTTAACAAAGGCAGCTTCGGGTTTACCAACCGTATCACGTAGTACGTGTATACCTTACCTGCTCGCGCGCTTCGCAAAACCTAAACCTCCTGGCGGACCGTCTAACTTTGGCCTTAATGCGTCAACGGGGAGCTGGATAAGTTACGGGCCGGGTCAATTAAAACTAATTATTCCCGTCGGCGTAATCGGAGCTCCCGCGGGCGATCGCGGCTAATTGTATACGCAAGGGCGTGTTTAAAGGGAGGTTTCGTCGGCACTGATAGAAAACAACACTGGGAGGGCTCTTTCCGGGATAAGTTTTCGCGGAACTCCCGCTGGCCGTTGCTGAACTCCGCAGAATCGAGAATTCGGCGTTATCGGAGCGCGAGAATTCGATATCAAGCCTCGAAGTCATTAACTATGTTACAAGTGCAATGGAGAAACGCACATTCAACGAAACACATCTACAAGCTAATATATTGCGTATTTTATACGCGAGTATTCGGATATATTCTTAACCAATTAATTGCTTTACAAGTATACACTAATAGACGTTAGTATCACCATCGACGTCACATTTCATTTCGGTTTGTATTTCTTCCAAGTTCTCTGCAGGTATAATTTCCTTGCTATTTGTCTCTTTCTAAAATCCGAGGTCAGTATATTCGAACGCATTCGACGTTATTAAAATATTTCGTCAAGAGAGTCTTTGGTTCGGTTCAATATATGCAACCAGACAAATATTTGTACGGACACACGTGCGGAGGAAGCGTGTAACATTATAGTAACCATAAGGGCTGCCAAACTCGAGATATATTAGCGTGACGCGGCCCAGGTACCACTCGGATCACAGAAGTGCCGATAAGCATCGCAAATTCGGTCTCGTACGCACACGACGCGCCGCCACCACGCGAGTGGGGGCTATCACAAATTTCAAGCCAAATGTGCAACTAAGTACCTACTTAGGCCCCGTTTGACGCAGGGGATTGAGATCGCATTTGAATGGGAGATTTGGCCCGCGGATTTTCGTCCCGAATTGAGCCATTGTGAAGCCCTTTTAAAGCGACCACCTGACGGCCCTTGACACGCTACCGTTTGCCTTTCTGCATTTTAAGCGCGTTGTTCGTCGCGCCGCGGCTCGCTCGTTCTCTGTCATTGAATTTCGACTGACAGTGACGACTCCTAATTTCATAGTCCACCACTTTTTTTCCGAATTGCGCGACGTTTTTGATTTTTGTTGTGCGGCGGCCACGTCGCGACAAAATTGAAGTCGGAATTGAATCGACACGAGTAGATAATTTTGTAAATTATTCGGCCACATAGAATTCGATCGTGTTGCATGCAAAGATATTTAAAAACAATCGATGAATGCCAGACGCTCTCACGTAATGCCGTAATGCCTATATTCTCGCAGCTGCATTAACTACTTTTTCCGAGCCACGGCACCAATCTGCCCTAAAGCATAACACGACAATCTAATAGACGCGTCCACGCCCAAAAAATTAGCCCAAATGAATAAATACGAAGGTGCCCGACATGGAAAGAATTGACCCGCGATAGCCGTGCTTTTTCTCCTGAGATATTTGAATAGAGCCTCAAAAGTTTCAGTAGAACTTGCGCGGATCGGCGTCGAAATCGCGACACTAATACACTGCAGTGCGGACGAAATCGATCAGACAGATTTTCGATAAGAGAAATAAAAGACGATCATACCGGTGACAATACTTTCGCGGATACGACGGAATGTTTTGGCACCCCAACGCGCAGAAATAGTCGTCCCTCTTGTAATACGCGCCACCCCATCTATCGAATTATTTTGATTCTGCGATAATTCACCCCTAACACGCCGTTCCCCCGCTACGTAAAGCGAGAGGAGGAGGAAAATGGTGATTCGATCTTTCTGATGGAAATTCGAAAACATCGCGCGGCAGCGTGCAAGCACTCTTGTTGAAAATCCGGGATGGGAGATTAGTAGGATTTATGAAAAAGAAAAGGGACGATTGATGAGCGATCGATGTTACAATACCAAACATATTTCGAAAGTATGATGTTACAGCATATTTTAATAGATAAATTTATAAATCTATAAATAAATTTATAGATCAATAAATAAATTTATCTAAATCTAAGAAAAATATTTAAAAATAATCAATTTCTACTGTTACTAATTGGATCTGTTAAACATAAAATCGTGTTTAGCAAATTATTCTCGATCTATTGTAAATTAGTGTGTCAATAATCGACGCATCTTGATAAAACGGTTTGTAGGTAGCTATAAGAGAAATTATGAACAAAATTGTCAGCACAAAAATGTTCTTTCACCGTATATTTTACGCGATCGTCGGGAGCAAATGGCACGGCTATCCGAGGTTTGCCGGACAGCTTAACGTCACGTGGCTTCCACAGTGGAAGAATAATCGTTAGCGCGATTCACGCGACTCGCCGAATCCTTTGGCCATGTCGAATCGAGTCCGGAGGGAGAAGCCGTCGAAGCCGACTTCGGCGTAATTTTTGGAAAGTACAGCCGGCCCGAGTATCGCGCGCTCGCCCGCGATTATCCGTCGCGGCGACCATTGTCGACGTGAAATTGAATTTCGTCAATTAGATTTTCAGCGTTTACGGTTGGTTAATCCGCGCGTCGACATCACAATGGACGCACGCCGCATGGACAGCTGTAGATGTCGCGATACATACTTCTGCTCGTGCCGAATCACCGCCCCCGGGGCTTCATCCGATTCTCGCATTATTATAATGTGGCCCCGGGCCTGATTTTAACAGATCACGAGCCCGTGCCTAATTCATTGTCCGTCTTGGGGGTCGCGACGAGTGCGAAATCAGTCAGCGGATCCGGATAATTGGTAGCGATTCCACTTGAACTAATATGCTCCAATCGAAACGGGAGGTGATTCAAAGATTTCGTCATTCTGATGGGTCATTTAGAAAATTTATAATATTGATAACTCTCTCCGTAAAATAGCGTAAACAATGTTATCGAACTGTTTGCCGAATTGATATAAAACGAAAAGGACAATAATGCGGCGAAAACATCTTGTGTCATTTTATTGTTTACTTCTCCGTTTTATTGACAATTCTCCGTAAAGGTGTTCAACGCGATTTTAAATTGGGATATTAAGAGCCATCGCAGGATCCGATAGAAAGTCCAATCCTTCCGTCAAGTCGTTCGACAGCGACAGAAAAACGCCAGGCGTCTTTTCGCGGCATTTCGCTGGTAATTGAAATGCCTCGGCGATCGTCGCTCTCTCGAACGGACGGCGGATTTGAATATTCCTTCGGCTAATTCCCGACCGACAAAAGATGTTATTCTCCCTCCCCCGTGCCCGGACTCGCGAGCCTCTTCCTCGCTCTTTCGTTCCCGCGTTCCCAGGGGGGAGCCGAAGTTTGCGCCGGGCGTCTTGGTTAATCACTATAATTGATATTCCGCTGATATCACCGTGGCGAGTAACGGAGTAACGCGGTAACGAAGTAACACGATTAAAGGGGGCCTCTTATTGGCTCGCTCGCTCGTTCTCTCGGATTGAATTATATTATTACCGCCGATAGAGATGGAGGGAGAGAGAAGGAGAAAGAGAGAACGCTTGAGACAATTTCCTTTCGCGACTAGACAACGATCTGCGAATCGGAGAATACGACCAAAACGGCCCGATAAAATCGATATCAAATTCTTATCGACCAAGCTTTACTGCCTATTATTATCTATGTGCAGAAAAATTGGGGAAACATCATTTCACATCGTGAAAAAACCGTGATAAAATGTCTTTCTTAAAGGCAAAGTAATTTTTTATGTAGAAAAATTATTGCATCTAATTTGCAAATGTGTAATTATTAAGAGAACACACAGAGGAATTTCGAGTAAAACGCAGCTAAATTTTGCCGAGATGAAAAACGTTATTGCGAATAAGAATTTTAATTAATCCCCCGGCTCGCTATTTTTCAGTTCAACTTATCGCGTTCTGACGTCTAACTGTTTCGTCATGGAGAGCGCGTG